GTTCAGCAACGACGACATCGTTCTTAACCGCATCTTTGCCGCGACCTTTGGCGACTCCCTTTCTCTTGGCTCCCTTCCTCATTGCAGTACAGCGGAAACAACACACGAAATGACGAAGACGACGAAGAAGAGCAAGGACGAAAGGATGAAATGAGAATCTCCTGCTTCTCAGATAGAGAGATGGAGAAAGAGAGCGAGCACGCTAGGGATTAATGGCGGTGGATCCGGAATTTCGAATTTTCAGAGGGCGAGAATTTGGGTTTTTTTTTTTTTGCTGGGTATTTTATTTTCTTCAATTGCGTGGCTTTAACGCACTGTGGTCACAAGAGGAAAATAGGGTTTGTTTGTTTCCGACAAATAAATTACAACCAAATCTGATGGGCCAAAATCGAAATTATTTGAAATTTCGATGGGCCCAAAACTTATAAGAAGGTTCCAGTGCTGGCTGCTGCCGACTCTAGCATCGCTTGCCCACGTGTCATTCATCCAACGCTCTGATTTACCCAAAATTTACAAAAATTTTGCCACCAATAATTTTGTTGAAACTAAAGCCCAGATCTTGGTTTGGATTATATTTGGGCCTAACAGGCTTTCAATTGATATTCTATTTTTATCTTAAGAGGCCCATGTAAAGAAAGAAAGGTTAGGTGACGTGGCACTCGAACAATCTTAAATACAATTTATCAAATTTTAAATGATTAGTGGGCCATATTCTTAACCATTACACGGCCCATAGGCCCATATTCTATTGGGCTTCAGGGTCTCGGTCATAATAAGGGGCGTTTTTAGTAATTAAAGAAAAGTTAGAGGCCTTCCTTGTAAATTTCGTATTATTGCCTTCAGCAAATTCTCATTCTCAGAAGGTAGTACACGTTGTTGCGTTAGCAGCTGGGTAAACTTCAGGAATGCACTTTATGTGTCGCAGTACTTTTGTCGATACACACTCCAAAATTTAAAATAATTTTTTATCGGATTCTACATTTTATTTCAAGTAAAATGACTTAAATAACCTTATATATAAAATATCTAAAATACCTTTTTACATTTGAATTAAAAAAAGATATTGAAAAGATTTTTTAAATATTTCGTTTTAATTTGTCCACCTAGCTTTTTAAATTATTTTCGATTTCATCTTTTTTTTTTCTCTCGAATGGACACAGTTTTCAGATTTTTAAATATATTAGTTCTAATTTATCTACGTGGCTTTTTGAATTAATTTGGTCACAATTGATGCTATTTTTTTGTTACAATTATTATTCTTTATTTACAACTTATTTTTGGTAACATATACAATTCCTTGTGTTTGGTTTTTTATGTACAAACTAGGTCCAGATTTTGGTTTCGGTGGATTCTCCATCTCGCTCTGCAATAAAACAAATGTATTAAGTTGTATTAACGACTAGTATACATATTCAAATATAATTACGACTAATACTTCTATAATATTTAGTGGCATCTACCACTATTTTAGAGACAGCATCTTTGTAATTCTAAGTTGCAAATAAGACTAATTAATATACACAAAATATTTCGCAATTTTTCAAATAATCTGAACGAATTCGAAAAAAAAAACTCATCCAAAATACTCACATCAACATCCAGAGAAGAATCTTCTGTCAATTTTCTCCGCGGATCTGCTTTTTCGGTCGACCGAGATGTGTTACTCCGATTTGGACCTTTTCACCCGACGAAGACGAAAATTCCTCTTGATTCTGAGTTTTTCCGGTCGACTGAGATGCGTCACTCCGATGTGAACCTTTTCCTCTCTATTTTTCCGAGCGTCCCTGATAAATCACTTCCATCTGAACCTTCGCCACTCGACGAAGAGGAATAAGATCCATCCTTTTCCTCTCTATTTTGCACTTCTACACTCGATCTCGGTGGATTTCGCTCCATTTCACCAGATTTTCGAAAATTTTCGCTCTTCACCCTCTCTCTCGGTGCCTCTCTATTTGCTTTCGAAATGACAGTAAAACAACCCTAACTCTCTTTTTTTCCCTTTTTACTCTGGCAAATCTGGCGGACTTTCACCCACCGGACACGTATCATACGCTCAGTTTTATTAAGGTTTTTCAACTTTTATAAGGGCATCTTCGTCTTTTGTTAATTCTTTATGTTTATGAGGTGTATTTGTGATAGAGATGCGACGCGTGCAATCCTGAAGTTTCCCCTTAGCAGCTCGAAGCTCTAACGATGACTCTCGAAGATTAGATCGAAACATCGCCATGTTCGTCGCTTCGAAATCGCAGGTCTCGGACTCTGCAATAGTAAGGGATCCAATTCTTCGCCACGGCTTCTCCAGCGGAAATGCTTCTGTTAGCCGCCGGTACAATCTTTGCGATCCGTCGGCGAATCGGCTGCGTATTATCCGACGATGGATTCTGCATCGCCAGGAGCATCCGAGCCGTCGGTCTCGCCCCGTCTGACGGAATCTGTTGGACTTCCTCCTTTCCAACTCTGTCAGTGGACAATCACGCAGAGGCACATCGTCTTGCTTAATGTCGTCGCTTGCGCTGTATGATTCTCTGTTTAGCTTCGAGATGCTCTCCATTGTTTCCCCTTAATTTCTGTCTTGTAATTGTTTATTTGTGGGTATAATTTAGGAATCGAGAAGTTACTTTGGTCGGGTTCTCTTGTTCAATGATCTGGTCTTGAGGGTTTCTCCATGTGTAGATTTCTTCGAGATTGCGAATGTAGGACGTTTTCTATACTCGCTGTGATATTTCTTCTGATAAATTATGTAACTTGCAGACAGCAGTTTCAGCAACATGGCTCTTCTTTGCTGCAATTCCTGCTATTCTGGTTAGGTCTCGGCCATTTTCTCTCTTTGATGATATATACAAGACTATGTGCTTTGTGATGCTTATCACTTTCTGTCTATCTGTTCCTTTTGATGCTGGAGAAGGCATTCAAGAAAGCGGCTGACTCGCTAACAAAGCTGATGGATGTAACCAGGGAAGAGCTACCCGATACAATGGCAGCCATCCGTTTGTCGGGAATGGAGATCAGTGACTTGACAATGGAGCTCAGTGATTTAGGGTTAGAGCTTTTCGGCTAGTATCTGTTACCCTTTTTCCCCCCTTCACCTGAGGACCACAAGTTATATACATCTTTGCTTCGAAGAATGATATTGTTAATGTCTGCTTTGTACGATTTGCAGTCAAGACATCACTCAAAGTGTCAGAAATTCAACTCGAGCTGTTCGCTTAGCCGAAGAGAGATTGCAGAGATTAACAAATATGGGTCCAGGTTTGCCTAAAGTTATATGCTTGAACTTTGTTTGAGAAATGAGACTTTGCTGTTAAAATGTTCACTCCATCTTTACTTGAGTAGCTTCCATGCAGGAGGAGGCATGTACCAAAACAAGACGCAGAAAATGGAACCCGAAATAGCTAGAGCTGCGAGGAACTTAAGGGAGAGGCTCGTGAAAGGGCGTTCCCTCTGGCAACTGATGTTCACTCTCACTCGGTTTTCAAAGATTGCTTTCGGCTATCTCACGAAAACGCGCTGATTAAGGCCATAGAACCTGAAATCCTACGTGAGCGATTCTGTCATTTTAGACATTCTTCATTAGGGTTAGGCAGAACGGGTTTTTCTAGCTTCCAAGTCTTGTTCTTCCTGTGGATCAATGTTCATGTGACGTCATGATGATGATTTTGATGATATCACTGGAGATTTTCTCTTTAGATACACTTACAATCCTCTGAGTGAGTGTCTTAAGGTACCAATAATGAGTATACGAATGGACAGACAGACCGTTAAATATAAATGGGAGAAGAGGACCCAACAAAAGCACTCTGGTTTCATATCTATAATGTATTATTCACATATATATATATATATATAAAGGTGAGATTGGGAGTGATGATGTGGTAGTGGAGATTGGGATATTGCACGGGTGACACCTACCTAAGCTGCTTTAGCTTTTTATTTTGATGATTGAAAATGGATAAATATTTTGGTTATAAAAAATTTATTTCTGGATTTGCAGAATCTTACCGGAAGCAATATACCGATTACGACCACTTCTAAACCGTTTTTTTATAAATTATGTTCTTCAAAAGATATCATACGGTGCCGAAATATATAGTTTTATCAACGTTACAATCCGAAATACTAAACCGAATATTAAACCGGAATCCGGTTAGGTTAACACTGAGGCAACATTGTATAGTTGTATTACAAACTACAAAGCAAGTCCGCACTCATTTATTTCTCGAAGGTTTACATGAACCAAACCACCACACTCGTGCAAAAGAAAAGGGCAGTAATGTAAATAATCGTATTTACATTATTGCCATTGTACAAAGATCTGAAACACGCACACCACATAGATACACTCTCGCACGTACACACGCAGGTACGTACGTACATACAATATGGCTATCAAAGTCAAAGGTCGAAGTGGTTGACTTTACCTGGGCTGCTGGGGGTAGCATGGTGTTTTTCACGCTCTTTTGGATCCACGTGCATGCTCCTCGCGGACACTTCAACTTTCAGAACCTTCGCCTCTGTTGTCTGAAACACACGCTTACAATACATCCATCATATCTCTGTGTTCTTTATTTATACGTATACTAAATATCCTTATTATATGTATAAATACGGAGAAAGTGATGATCTTGCTTCGTGTCTGTGTTTCACATAGAAACATCAAGTACGCTTTTTTTATATATATCATATCGTTCTTTGATGAAGGAAAACAAAAATTATATCGTTCCATCCCCAAAAAAAACTTACCGGGTAGCTTTCAGGCTTGCAAGAAGAAGAAGAAGGAGGAGGAAGATCAAGACCGAGGCACTTGAACAAAGGCTTGAGAGCTTGAACGAGGGACAGAAATGGAAGCCATAGATTCTGTTCTTCTTCTTCTTCTCCTCCTCTTCTTGAGATGAGCTGTTCCTCCATTGAAACGCTCTCGAGTTCTTGTTTCATCTCTTGCACTAACTACTAACCTTTTGCATGGTGGCGACACTCCTTTTTAAAAAGGAGAATGGAGTCACCCTCTGCGATTCATGTGTGACAACTAATAGATGATAATAAGGGTAATAATGTAACATAAAGTAATAAGGTATATTAACCTAATTCTATTAATTACATTAATACCCTTATTAGATGATTAGGACCACTCCCACCTTTTTTTAATTATTATTATTATCATGTGAAATTTACAAAATTTGGCTTAGAGAGAATGATTGGGGGTGCCATTAAGAGTTTCCAAAATTTGACTAAACCCTGCGTTTCTTGCAATGCCCATCACTTATCTTGGTGTTGATTGGAGGAATTATTATATCTAACCTATTGATATTGTCTGCCCAAGTGGCATATATTCCAAATTATGAATAGCCATTTTGGTTAATAATTAAATGATCGAAATAATAGTATAAAACATAATTGAACTCGATAGGATATATAAAAAACAAATATTTATAATTTAAAAATATTTTTATCAATAAAAAAAATCAAATAGAAGAAAAAAATATAAAAAACGAATGATTATAATTTTCTTAAAAATTAAATTAACCGAATTCAAATATTACCAAGTTGGTTAGGTTTGGCATTTTTCGTTCGGACGATGTCTCTCGATCCATGTTCGAGTTTAGCGTGTAACAAACATAAATTCCCAAAAAAATCGGCACCTTTCGGTAATTAATTCGATAGAGATTTTAACTATCAATAACTTTGAATTGGACCGATCCTACAATGCACATATATATATATATATATACACACGCTTGTGCGTGCATATGTGATTGTTTTATACGAATACAATAGTATTTTGTAACAATGAGAATCTGAGCAATATATATGCTAATTAACACCGCCGGGTCTTCCTTTGGTCGGAGCAGGCTTCTTCGGTGATTTCGGTTTCGGCTTTAGCTTCCTTTCCGATATCTCCAACCCCTCGACATCATCATCATCCTGAATCCATCAAAATGACATTTCGATTCAGACATTCTCTTCAAACTTTGAACAAATGTTTTTTTTTCGTAACAAAAGTTATATGTGAAACAACTTAGATATTGGACTCATACGTCCAAATGTGAAAATACCCATTTGGGAAAAAAGATAAACTTGTGAATATTATATCTTCTAAGTACCGAGTGAAATTCAATCTCCGACGAAGATGATGACCATGACCATGACGATGATGATGAGGATGACGATGAACGTTGAAGGCCGAAACATCTCAAGAAACCGGAAGCAGACCGGTGAAGAAACTCGGACGGGAGCCAGAGATTGTGGTTTCCTTCATCTATTCTCTCGTTCTCCATTTTGATTATCACAGATTTTCTTTCTTCTTTGGGATGGAGCTTGAGTAAGCAGAGGCCACTTGTTTTAAAGGCGATCTTTGGGTCTTCGGTCAACTTCAAAAGGTCAAACCATAATAACGAGTTTTTTTTATATACATTAGAATTAGACCGAGTCCATTTCATTCGCCCGTTATGCATTTGGTTCAACGCAGTTACGTTACGTGCAGCACTTTGGAATATATAATTGCAATTTCACCAAATCAAAATGTAATGTGAAAATTAAATTTCTATTAAACTGGTTTAAATTAAAGCCCTGCAATGCAATTGATTTCCGTACCACAGGAAATGCATTCAACTCGAGGTCAATAAATTGAAAAAAAAAAATTGATCTTATAGCTGAATCCCAGAATTTATAAGTGTAAAATATAACCCACATTCTACACGAATATATGAAAAAAAAAGTAAGAAAAATGTTTTTAATTATTTTGTATGACGGTCAAGAAAATAAAGCCGCAAATTGAAATTTCTCTTTATTCAATATCGGTCAGCCCCACTAATCAGATATAGAGGGATAAATATGTATTTTTCCAAGTGTATTATTAGGTTAATTCACTTGCATAAACACCTCATTATGTAACTAATAATATTAAGCTTCCGCTTGTTGAGTATATTAGATCGGTTACCAAAACTCTTAAACAGAGGTTTAAACGCTAAATTCTCATTGTTAACACCGATATATTCCTCTTACACAGAACCTTGAATCTTTAATTTATTTGATTTGGGTTCAATTTGTTTCGAATTCAGTTTAACAGTACTTAATTTTATTGGGTTCAATCTATTTTATTAATTCAACGTTATTGCACAAAATACTGTTCAAACCCGTTAACATGCAGTATGACATGACGAGAATGAATTTAGGAATTCAAAGTCAACGGTAAAAAATGCAAAATATTATATATGTTTTTTTTATACGAGAGCTGACTACTAAACCAGAAAATATTAGCACCTCAGTAGTTACATATTAACGCATAGATTTTTTTTTATTTATAATATGAAAATTTATCGGATTTTCGGTTCAATTACATTTCCGAGAGGACCGGGGATTCGAAAGATTCAGCTGAATTCCTCCCCCCAAACCTGATGAAAGAATTTTGATCTATTTCTCAAGAGTCAAGCCATCCAATCTTTAGTAATAACGTATAGATTTATACAACAATAGACGTGATTATACTCTGATCATCAACATACAATTGGACGAGGGAATTAGTTTACAATTCTTCACCGTTAGAGGACGTTTCCCCGACAAAAGAAGCGAAGAGTTTTTAGTTAGGATTAGAACAAGGGTGTTATTTACACGTATTACAACTGCTTCTTAGGTTCAGGTCTACGAGAGTCATCGGAGGATGTCGGATCAAGACCTAAACACTTGAGAAATGCCGATCGAGCTATCTGAAACAAACTACATGGATGATACGAATTCCGGGTCGACCCTTCTCCCCCCGTGCTTGACGACGTGCATGGCGTTATCTCCCCTTTTATGCTCTCCGATCCTCCTCCCATCTGCATTATAACCACCATCATCATCGTGTTTTATATATATATATATATATGGCAAACATCGACGAAATGTTGTCCATTCGGATTTCTTACGTCAGATTCCGTGACCATCGATTCATGAGGGTGATATAAGGTCTCAACCCTCGAGGGTTTAGAAATTAGAAATCAGAAAATTTCCCATGAATTCAAACGATCAACTAGCTTAGCAATTTATAGAAAATAAAGACAAATCATAGCTACCGATACGGATGGGTCGACAACTAGGTTGGTAAACAATAATCAGACAAAAGAGTTGCCCGTGTCAACATTCACCATCTAATAAAACACACGCACAGAGGCACGAACATATAAAAGAAGACAAAAATTGCTCGGATGCAACTACGCGAAACCCCGTTGTATCATATGAAGATGATGTTACTCTGTTACGGGAACTATACTGCATCACTGGTGTAGTATTGAAGAGAGAACAAAACACATTGAATTAAATAATCCGCACAAGTGGGTTATCTTCTGACCTTTACATGTATTTTAAAACGACCCTTGAACTTATAAAAAGCTTCCAGACCTAATCATCCACTTCTTAACGCATGATGTGACCTCCTGCATGTATTTTAAAACCTAATCGTCTTCTTCCTAATGCACGTTGACCATGGAACTGTACACGAAAATCGCCATAGCAGATAATATCAATCACGGTTTCTATTATTTGAGCAGGGAATTAGAACTGGATTAGCTCAAATCACACTGCTTCCTACTGAAACCGGCAAGCGGTTTTGTACATAAAAGCTCTGTTCATCATTCATGTTTTGTAATAACCGGAAGTTCACCGGAACTTTTGGCCCAACTATATCTTCTAGAGGATTAGGAAAATCCAGGAGAATACTCCTCCCAGGTACTGAAACCGGCAAGTGGTTTTGTACATAAAAGTGTTGTTCATCATTCATGTTTTTTAATAATCCGGAAGTTCACCGGAACTTTTGGCCCAACTATATCTTCTAGAGGATTGGGAAAACCCAGGACAATACTCCTCCATGGTGGAGATTCAAACCTGGTTGTGAAGGAGTTTTACCTCATCCCTCACCAGTTGAGCCATCCAAACTTGAACCGTCTAGACCATATGCAATTTGCACAGAAGTAATTCCCCAAAACTTAAAATCATCAAAAACCATTGAGAGGAAAACAAAGGACTAACTTTGTTTCTTAAAGGCACAACCAGACACCAGTTGTGAAACTCAAGCAACGACACAATTAAGCAAAGGAAAATCATCCAGAGGTTTTGTTGCTTGGAAGCCACGACAACACATGGGCCCTAATAACAGATATGATTACTGATTTCCTCCCCTAAACCTCGCAAAGACCATTTGATTAAGCCAATAACTAATCATTTTTCTACAGATTAGCGCCATACTATTACTAACAAAAAGAATGTGATTAATCATTGCTTATGATTAACACCATAATTAGGAACTCATTTCCTATGTTTAGATGACTCCTAAATCAAAATTGATTACATATAATTTCAAAACTTTTCTCCTTATCTACAGATAAACGTGGCCAGCCCATTTTCGCTGTCATTTCCTCGTCTCAATCCTCTTTTATTCTTAATTGTAATTCAACCCCTAATTTTAACATAAATTACACAAATGGCCTCTTATTTCTTTTTCCTACTGCACAGTTAAAGGGAAAAAGAGGAAATAGAATAGTCCGACTTCTAATTTTGATCTAACAGCTAAACAAATTCAATCCCAATATGCATATACCAAATTATCGCGAGAAATTATTCTCAGACTGGGCAAATTTGAGGGGGGAAAAAACGTCGAATCGAAGAGAGCGAGGGGGAGAGAGAGAGAGGGGAACTGCTTACTTGGTTAGACTGCACGAGACTTGAATTGCCAAAAAACTTCGAGCCACAGTCCGCCGGGACTGGATCGCCGAGAGGAAATCGCCGAGGAACAGAGGCGCCGGAGGAAGAAGAGGCGGAGGAGCTGGAGGAGGAGGGGTTATTTTCGTAGAGATCCGGAGATAAGATGCCGAGGGCGCAAAGGAGGAGCAAGAGGAGGAAGAAAACGAGCATTTGGATCCAAATGAGCCATGGGATCCTATAGCTATCGACTATAACTAGCTCCTCCCCGAAGTCCACCATTACAGAGAACGATGAGGCTTTCAAGGGGGAGAGAGAGAGAGAGAGAGAAAAGTTTTGACAAAGCGAGAAGAAACTGCGTTCCAGAGAGACGGTGGGAGGAGGAAGGAGACCGTCAGGTAAGGCGTGGAAGGCTTTGTGGGTGAAGCATAAAGCGACAGAGCTTGTGACCTTTGGCAATGCTCGTGAATCAGAGAAGTCCACGTGTCACGTGGCTTCACGCGCTCGGCGTCATCTTTAATTTTTTTTCGACTAAAATATTAAAATATGACAAGTGACCTCGGCCCAAACAAAGGGCCTTATTGGGCCTCAGAAAGTGGTATCCTCGCATCTCTTTGATCACGTGCTTCTCACGTGATACATTGTTTTCAGCTATTAAAAAAAGTCTCAAGGACGGCAGTCGGCAGTCGGCAGTCGTACCTCTGTGGAGTCGGGAAGCAAAATAGTCGAATTTTTCATGTTTAGTATATTATAAGGTTTTGTGTAAATTGGAAACTAGGTTGGGAAGCTGGAGTTGGACCAACTTCGTCATGTATTTTTTTTTAAAATTTGTAGAAATAAATAATAAATTAAAAAATAACGCCCACCGTGGGGCTCGAACCCACGGCCACAAGGTTAAGAGCCTTGCGCTCTACCAACTGAGCTAGACGGGCTTTGTAAAACTAGTCAGTTTTATTTTAAATCTCTCAGAACATTCAATATTTATTCGAAAGAAAAAAGCAAAAACGCATTGAAGAGGGGAGGATGCAAATGGACAAAATGAGAAGCCACTTGAGGTTGAGGAACACGTGTGATGAGAAGAAAACAAAAAAGGGGGGGAAGAGTGAATGTCACATGACATGAACACCCCCAGCCACTAACTCCCTCCATGCAACTGTCATGCTTTCATATCTATCAATCAATGTTACAGACCACGACAACTTAGCATTCATAACGATACGGACACGGGGTTTTTTTTATACATATATATATGGTCATATATAGACGATACATATGACCCATGACTTAATGCTTTTGCCTCTCTCTCTCTCTCTTGAATCTCTTCTTAATTTGAAGGTATATACCCTATCACGGTAGATTCATTCTTGTTTATTTTGTAACGAGTTTTGCCTCTTTTTGTTGTTTGTTGGGGAATATTGTGATGAAACTCGGCTCGAATCTGTAACAAATCTCCCTTATGTGACCACATTGAAGAAAAATGTGTTGGAATTGGGAATATAGACCATATTGAAGAAAACTGTGCGCCACATGCATTTGCCGGTCTCTTCTCTGTCTGAGGACTCCCCCCACCGACACATGCTCCGTCACTTGTTTTGTTACATATTTTCGTAAAAACTCGGTTACTTTTATATCAAACATGGTATTGTGGATTAATTAAGCTACAAGTGGCAACTTCAGAATTTCAATATTAATTGAGGAGATCAAATTTTCACCCAACAGAAATTTCCATTTGAAACGGTTCCAAAACTGGAGCCTAGACCGCTCCACACACACACACCATCACATAAGGAAAAAAACATAACCTAGCAATAAAAACACAGAACACACACACACACACACAAAACCCCTAGCGATTCTTGAAAATACATATCCCCCGAGCCATTTTCTACTTCGTCTCCACGGCGACGGCTCGCCACGGGCGTTTCATCTCACAAGACAGCTTCAAAACCTCGGCCAGGTCCACCGGCTCGCTCGTCTCCTCCGCCCACTCGAACCGCCTCACCAGCTCTGCCAGCCACCGGGTCACGGTGGCCAGACCCATGTTCTTCCCCGGACACGCCCTCCGACCCGCCCCGAACGGCGCAAGCCTCATGTCCCCTCCACGCACGTCCACGTCAGCGCCTTCCCCGTTTAGAAACCTCTCCGGCTCGAACACTTGCGGGTCGCTCCACACCCTCGGGTCGTGCGTTATGGCCCACATGTTGACCATCGCGGTGGTCCCCGCCGGAATCACCATGCCGTTACTGAGCTGGACGTCCGACGTGGACAGCCGAGCCCACGACAGCAGCGGCCCTGGTGGGTGCATCCTCAGTGTCTCCTTCACCACCGCCTGCAAGTACGGGAGCTTTGCCACGTCAGCGTCGGCAATAGGGCCGTTCCCCACGGCGCTATTGATCTCGTCACGTAACTTGGCTTGCACGTTAGGGTTTATCACCAGCTCCGCCATCGCCCACTCCGTTAACAACGCTGTTGTATCCGTTCCTCGAAAAATCATTTCCTGCATTCGAGAAACAAAATTACGATTGGAACCTTTTTGTTACAGTTATATATATATATATATATATATATATATATATGTATGTAACGAAAATTTAGACACTCAAAACAGAAAGAAACCGTGCATGTGATGAATATAGTGTGAACTATGTAATATACATACCCATAAAACAGCGATCATATCATTTTCTTCAAGCTTCTCATCACCATCTAGAGACAACAAAACGTCGACAAAATCTCCGCTGTCACCCTTCTTCCCTGAGTCACCGACTCGGTGCTCGTCGATGATCCTCCTGACGAGTTTTCTGATTCGTGGAACGAGTTCGGAGCACCGTTGGCTTATACGGAACGGGTCGTAAAAGTAAACGAGCCACGGAAGATAATCTGACCAGTTAAAAGCACCCAAGAGCTCAAAACCTTCTCTAACCATCGATTTAAGCTCTTCGAGATCCTCTTTCTCGCTCGGAGGGTCATATCTTATCCCGAAAACGCTTCCCATGACATTGTTCAAGGCGGCTAACTGCAAGTGCTTCCTCAAAACGACGGACCCGTTGTCGTTTTGCTCGACCGATATAGCCCTCACCATCTCAGCGCAGTCTAGCTTACGTCCAGCTTCGTGGGCTAACATGCGCCTGGGAGCGAAGAGGTGAGCCGACGCGATCCTCCTCAACGTGCGCCAGTAAGCCCCGTTGGGCGCAAACCCTATGGCTCGGCTGAACATGAGACTCTTAGCCGACTGCTTAACCGGCCGGTCAGCGAAGTGAACCGAAGTCAGGATCTCCCGCGCCGTGCCGGTCTCAGAGGCCACGACGACCGGCGTCGAGCCCAGGCTAAGAGCCATGAGATCGGTTTCGTCTCTGCTCCGAGCAAAGGCGTCTAAAGTCCGGTGAGCTAAGCCGCGGCTTAGTGTGAAGAGGCTCCCGAAAACGGGTAAACCCCGAGGGCCCGGGATCTTGACCCGACCCATCCGGTTCCTGCCGTTCTTCCACGCGCCACCGCCACCTCCGGCGAGAACCCATGTGAGGAGATAGAGAGAGACGGCAGCGACGGAGAGGGAGATGAGGACGTGAACATCGAGTAGGTTTTGGGTTCCAAAAACGGCAGGTAGTGCGAACATCCACCAGCTCGTTTCTTTTGACACCAACTTCACTTCCATATTCAATATTTTTCCCCCTTGAAGTAACGAAGGAGTGATAACAAGTTGAAAGAGAGAAATATTATAGGACTATATAATTGGTGTCTTTGTGTATTGAACGTGTGAGATCGGTTGATAAGGAAAATATAGAGGTACTATATACATATATATATACCCTTTGATATTTACATACATACTTGTATATGCGAATGCATATATATGCAGGTGTGAATGATATTTGAGTGTTGAAGCAGTAAGACTATACGTCGGTTACAATAATATCAATAAAAATATTGATGTTAAAGTATGATAGTTACTACACGATAATTAATGACATAAATATTATTTATATGATGTAAATGAAGAGAGGAGGTCGAAATTCACGTGGAGGGAGGAGGGGAATCGCATGAAGGTTTGGTGTGGAATGAGAGATGTGTGTCTGACGTGGGCGTTGATGAAAATGAATTCTGCATTTTTCTCCATTTTTAAAAAATATTTTTACTTTATTTTATTATTATGCAGAGAGAGAGAGAGAGGGAATTTAATGAGACCATAGATTTTCGGACAGGGGAAAACAAAACGGCGAGCTACGTTTATATTTGATTGATTGGCGATGGTGGTGGATACTGCTTGCATTAAATTATCCGATACGTACAAAATCTACTCAATCTCCTTTGGTCTAATTAATTAAGTTGTCTTAAACTATGTGTATTATATATATATATACGTGAAAGAGAATATATATACATCGGATAGAACCGTTATTATTGAGGGAACCATAACGATAATTATCATTCTGAGATAATTAACAATTTTAAACGTTTTTTTTTTCAAGTAACGTATTTGTAGTGCCATCTTTGTGATGAGACTTGTCCTAATTGGTATATCAATTGTTGTTATATCGACGGTTTTCATATTTGCATGCATGCACCATATGTATCATGAATAACCATATAGTTACATGCATCAACCTTATTATACGCATTTGAAGCTCCTCTTTACATAGTACATACCATTCATTCCCTCTGCGTACATCTAGAAACGCTGATGAATGAGAGATGAGGGGAAGTTTGACAGAGAGAGAGAGAGAGAGAGAGAGAGTAAATAAATATATATTGGGGGGAGGGCCCAAATGAAGTGCACGCTTTCCTACTATTCTCCATCATCGTCATCATCATCTCCATTCCTCCATGCATGCCCCCATCTACATACACGTATACGTATACTGACACACACGTACATACGTACATGCATGTCCTTCCCTCTCCCTCGGTACATGTATCATGCATGTACCAACATAGTTCTACGAGACAAATCCAACATGACTCGTGTTTTTATCTGACAACCATCAATTTGACCTTTTTTTTCTCTACCTCTCTGGCCACAGCATCGATATCACAATTTACGCAGACCCATCATAAATATTTATACGCCACTCACCACCACCACTAATAAATCTATAGTAGTTGGATTTCTCTTACGAAATTCGGTGGTATATTGAAATTAGTAGACCGTCTGTGAATGTATATACGTGTGTATATACACACACACACGCATCCACGAATGATCCATGGTGAGGACAGTGTGTTGCACTAATCCATATGATGTATTAATATCATTTCAATTCTAATAAACAAACTGGTTATAATGTTAGAAAACATCGTAACCGGTCCACCGTTTACATATTGTTCCGACAGTGTCACTGGTCTGCTCGTTATATTAAGTATGACCCAATTATTAGGTTCGATTTCAAGCCCATCTGCACTCACACAACTTTAGGATAAAGAGCCCAAATAGCCTTCTTCGAATGATATTTTCCTATAGTTAACTTAAATATTGTTTGCAATTTATACCACCCGTCCCCTTTGAAATGGGAACATATTTATTCTCTAATCTAGATATATACAATTATTCATATAATTTTAATTGCCATTATATAAAGGTTAGTGTTCTTTTTTGGGCAAATCTCAAGCTATACAAACAAGACTATACTTATAGTAAAATCTAAAAAGTTGTGATTAATTCTCTCGGATATTCTTCTTGGCACAACGTAAACTAAATTACTTCAGCCATAGAGATAATTATTTACTATAAACACCGATTCTGGTGAAAAAAAAAAAAAAGTAACTCACTGCATTTTTTTTTTTGACAATACATAAATCTCTAGCGTCATTGAATTGGGGATTTTGGCCGTGGAATCGCATTGCCCGTGAAAATGGTCCCATTTCAAGCCATTCAGGCTTTGACACAGCAGTTGAAGTAGCTGAAAATGCTTCTCCTCGTCTGTTCCATAACCACACATCAATTAACGACCCATTTTAAAATTGAAACCCTAAACACAACTTTATCATATTATATATTGATGAATTGAAATGGTCCGTTAATTGTAATAATTATAACGGGGGACCAATTCAGACATCGGATCTGTTGCTTCGTTGTTGTTTTATAGCTTTTTTTCTTCTTCTGATTTACACGATCTCTTATTTCCACATGTCATTTAAGAATGTCTTGTAAAGCCAATATAGTTCGGTCCACATGGTGGGTACCAAAATGAAACCTACCAACAGAAAAAGCCATAAATTATTTTCCCCGTTAAAGATTACTTTCGTGGAAAGAGATCACCAATGTAATACGTAATTTCGGTAGTCATCCTATCAATATATATATATATATATATATATATATATATATGTATATACGACCAATTCCATTTCTAGAAAACGATAACCATTTTGCTATTACTAAATTTAGACTTTATTTTCAATCTACGTAAGCACATAGGTTATAGACCCGTGTGGACCGCACAGAGGGGACCATGATCTAACATTTTTTGTGGACTAACCATATATTGTCACAATTTAAATCACTAACCTAATCGAGAAATGAAACGGACCCGCAAGCTTGAATGGACACAACTAAGCCAAGATATTCAAATCGAAACTATCAAGAAGGAAAGAGCAATATAATGAGAATCTAAGGAAAGAGTTTAAATGAATCTTACGGAAGGAGAATGTGGGTGGTGATTATTATTGTCGACGTGATGAACTGTCGTCAGCTTAGCCGCGGCGGCGGCGGGTTGAGGGCCGAGAAGGTCTTGGTCGTTGCCGAGACTGGCTCGGGACGGATCTCTCTTGTTCTGTTTCCTCATCTCTCTGATCTTGGAGAAGTCCATCGAGTAGTCGGGCATCACTCCCTTCTGGTCCCAGTCTCCGAACTGCGGTACCGATAACCACGGAGAGTTTTTCTGCAAAGCCACCACATGCATCAATATCGAGTCCAATCATGATCTTGATCTTGATTCTTGAATATCATAACTAAAAAAAGGTCATATCCCGAGAGAAGAACTTCGATCTTGTTCTTGATGTTGGGGAGCCAAAAAAGGCCATGCATGCATCATTTAAAACCCAGTTGAATCGTGAACCATTTCTCCCTCTCCCGAGAAAATTTTCTCGGGAAACAGACAACACAGAGGGGCACACAGAAAGGAGAGACGAGACATGGGTCTGAACGATTTTACCTCCTTTCCGTCTTCCATCTGATCAAATCTGCAGAGAGAGAGAGAGAGAGAGAGAGAGAGAGAGAGAGTAGTTTTTGCTCTGAGTTTTTTTTTGGCGGTCGACAGTCAATTCTTCAAGCTAGATTGTGAGTCAGAACGATTGGTATATAAAATGTCACATAAAAATGACAGCTAGATTGGTGTGTGTGTGTGTATATATATCGAATTTTATATAAAAAAAAAACCCGGAAAAATATAAACAGATAACGTTGAGAGACCAATAATGCTTGTATAGAATAGGTCTAGATATTGCGAGTGAATTACGATAATGCCATTCAGGGGACACGCTTTGTCCGTGTCCTGCTAATCAGGTGTGTACGCCTTTGCCTCTCCTTTCGTCTTTTTATCCTTTCGTTGCATCCACACAAACGAATCTCATGTCAGCCTTCCTAAACGACATCGTTTCAAGCTTTATCATTAATCTTTTCTCTTTGTATATTTTATAACACAAGATATTTGCAGCAAATAGATATGTTCATTTGAACTAAAATATATATATTATATATAACGTAGTTATCCGAATCAAACTGAAACCATATTCCCTGTTCAATACATGGCTACAATCTCAAACTCAAACCGATATTTTATTTTATCTGAAGTTTGGAACTTGACTGATAATTTCGTTTTCTGATTTTTTTTCCTCCACTTGAGAGACTTTAATTACATGAAATTGTTAGCAGCTTCTAAATATATATATAACAAATATACACATTATTCCATTTTTTCACGTAAGTAATATAAATTTTGAAAATATTATCACCTTTCCATAATAATGATGATAAAACTTTCAAAGTATAAATATTGTGTTTGATATTTCATATTATTATTTTTAGGATATCAAAATTTCGATAATGATTCAAATCACATTTATTTCGGACGTTAGTATTTTAAAATTCATATATATATTTTTTTTGTGGAAATTTCACCGACTTACTATATTTATATAACTGAAAAAGAATTAATCAATTCATGGAAGTGTGTGTCGTCACGGGATGCATCCTTAATTTAATTATTGGGCTTCATGTCATCTTATCTTGGTAAGTTGTTAAGATCAGATCCTTAATGTAACCCAAAATGAGCCCATTACAAAAGTCCATTATTGATAACATTTCTAGGCCCATTAACACCGCGACTTTTCCTTACCCCATCGCTAATTGACATTAATATAGTTTTTACTATGTATTTATCTTTTCTCCACGTGGATGCTTCATGATGCGCCACGTGGCAGATAGTGAGACCCTCATCGTCAAACGGCCTCTCTGCACCACAAAGCTTAGATATCCTCCTATCTTTTCCTCCGCTCCACATATATTTCCAATATTACTGTTCCAATTTTTCTTCTTCTTTAGTTAATTATTTAATTTTAATTCTAATTATGCATCGGAATTAATATTCGTAGCCTTTGGAATATCATGATATACTACTTTCCAGTAACACTTTTTTCGTGTATTTGAATTATAGAAAATATTACCAAATTTTGGAAATAATAACATATATTGGATTAATCGTTCGGACGCTGTGGTCGGAGCTCGAGAGATCTTCCTCTGCTTACTCGGTGGAGAAAGACTCTCTCGGTGGTCGTGAATCTTGGCGTTCGTCTTCAATCCCGCATTTTTCTATCTCGTCTCTTCCATTTTCTCGTTATCTAAACATGGGTTTAACGACGAATCTCCATCGCCTCGACCTCCGTTCGACCTTCTTCACTGGTCTCCGTCCATGCCCGTCGCCGATACACTCGAATTCCATGAAAATCTCTTCGGTTTCTAACCCTAGACGCGGAATCTCTTGCATCAGAGCCCAAGTGTCCACCATCAGCGTTGAGTCGTCGGTGAAACAAGAGGAATACGACGTCGAATCGCTCTTCTCGACCGGAACCACCGATGATTTCGATCGGAATCGCAACAACAGGCAATCCAACAGTGGGGCGTCTGGGGTTTCGTCGGGTGTGAAGCTGGAGAACATAAGCAAGAGCTATAAAGGCGTGACGGTGCTCAAGGACGTGAGCTGGGAGGTGAAGAAAGGGGAGAAGGTCGGACTGGTCGGCGTGAATGGCGCCGGCAAGACGACCCAACTGAGAATTATCACAGGTCAGGAAGAACCCGACTCGGGAAACGTGATAAAGGCGAAGCCCAACATTAAAATCGCCTTCTTGAGTCAGGAATTCGAGGTTTCCATGAGCAAGACGGTGAAGGAAGAGTTCATGAGCGCGTTCAAGGAGCAGATGGAGATTGCTGAGAAGTTGGAGAAAGTGCAAAAGGCGATAGAAAAATCCGTGGATGATTTGGAGCTGATGGGAAGATTGCTGGATGAATTTGATTTGTTGCAGAGGCGAGCACAGGCCGTTGATTTGGACGCCGTCGATGCGAAGATCAGTAAGCTGATGCCGGAGTTAGGGTTTGCGCCAGAGGACGCAGATAGGCTCGTGGCATCGTTTAGTGGTGGATGGCAGATGAGGATGTCACTTGGGAAGATCTTACTTCAGGTATTAAGTTTCGGATTTTGCACTTCATGGATGGAATCATTTGCTGTAATTTTGAATTCTTGGCTTTTCGATCAATTTGACGTTGCACGTTAGGGATCTTGACACTGTATGGTTGTAAAGTTTCATGCTTTAATAGTTTGACAATCTCATTTCATTTGGTACGCTAACCGTTGAACATTTCGGGGTTAAGACAATATGTAAACTAGGAGGCAAGTTACTCGTGTCTGGTTTAATGGGCTTTGCTGCCGTGTGCTACTGTGAACAGGAACCGGATTTACTGTTGCTGGATGAGCCCACGAACCATCTCGATCTTGGTACTATAGAATGGCTGGAAGATTATTTGAACAAGCAAGACGTTCCTTTGGTGATAATATCCCACGACAGAGCTTTCCTTGATCAGCTCTGTACTAAAATCGTTGAAACTGAGATGGGTGTGTCAAGGACATTCGAGGGCAATTATTCTCAATACGTAATATCAAAGGCCGAGTGGGTTGAAGCTCAGAATACTGCATGGGAGAAGCAGCAGAAAGAGATTGAAGCAACAAAGGACTTGATCAGCAGGCTGGGTGCCGGGGCAAATTCTGGCCGTGCTTCTACTGCAGAAAAGGTTATCTTGCTGAAGCAAATCCTTATTTTTCGTGGCATAATAGCGTTCACATCCCTATTCTTGCTTGCTGCCCTTTGTGTTTGAGTTCTATCTGGAAAATCTAAGATTTTGTTTCTCTTTCGTGGCTTGTGAAAGAAACTGGAGAGGCTGCAAGAGGAGGAACAAATAGAGAAGCCGTTTCAGAGGAAACAGATGAAAATCAGGTTTCCAGAGCGTGGAAGAAGTGGAAGAATGGTAGTAAATATGAAGAATCTCGAGTTTGGTTTCGAGGATAAGGTGAGACGGTAGGATATAAGCTGCTGCTTGTAAGAGGTTGTTGGATAATTCCTTCTGTGCCCTGTCCTTTTTTCCTGCTTAATAATTCCTTCATTACTTTGTAAACCAGATGCTATTTAAGAAGGCAAATCTTTCAATAGAAAGAGGAGAGAAAATTGCAATTCTTGGCCCGAATGGCTGTGGCAAGAGTACATTACTGAAACTGATTATGGGTTCGGAGAAGCCTGTGGGAGGTGAAGTTATTCTTGGGGAGCACAATGTATTGCCAAACTACTTCGAGCAGAATCAGGTCTTTTTCAATCGTAAATCGGGTTTCTCACACAGAAATTCCAAATGGATAAAAGATTTACGAGCTAATTGGCTACATCTGGCATTCCTTTTTATTCAGGCAGAGGCCCTTGAGCTGGATAAAACAGTGCTTGAAACAGTTGTAGAAGCTGCAGAAGACTGGAGAATTGACGATATAAAGGGGCTTCTTGGGCGTTGCAATTTCAAAGCTGACATGCTCGATAGAAAGGTCTCTCTTCTTAGCGGTGGCGAGAAGGTATACCTAAGATTGAAACTAAGAATCTTGAATGGCTTTCTGGTTTTCTTGTCCTTTATGGTTATGGACCTTATTTTATAGCTTCTCCATGATCTTGACTCCTAGGCTCGGCTTGCTTTCTGCAAATTCATGGTGAAACCATCCACTCTACTCGTTTTGGATGAACCCACCAATCACTTAGACATTCCCTCGAAAGAAATGCTCGAGGTTTCTATTCCTACCTCTCTCTCTCTCTCTCTGCCCATATAAAGGCAGTGGCAAAGTGTTCATGGCTGCTGACTAAGGCTTTAACACTCTGAATTCTCTCATCAGGAGGCGATAAACGAGTACGAGGGCACGGTCATCGCAGTCTCCCATGACAGATACTTCATTAAACAAATCGTTAACAGAGTCATAGAAGTCAGAGATGGAGGGTTACAAGACTATGCAGGCGACTACAACGTAATTTTCTCAGTGTTCTCTATTATTCTGTATGGGACCATGCAAATGGTGATGATATGTTCATCCTAGATATGGTAGTTTACACTGTAATGGTAACACTATGAATGAACTGGCATGTGAATGTATCAGTATTATCTGGAGAAGAACATGGAAGCAAGAGCAATGGAGCTGGAGAGGGAGGCGGAGTTAGAGGAGAAGGCTCCAAAAGTGAAAGCAAAGTCGAAAATGTCAAAGGCCGAGAAAGAAGCGAGGAAGAAGCAGAAGATGCAGGCTTTTCAGGCTGCTAAGCAGAAATCTAAGTCCCTTAAGAACTCCAAGAGATGGAAGTGAACTACTTCTTCCTTTCACCAGAAGAGAGAGGAGAGCAGAATGCTTTGTAGTGAAGAGAAGTAAATGGTCTATTTGTATATAGTCCTTTCCCATAGCAAAAATGCAGGTTGTGTCCATTGCTATTGGTAGAAATGAGATACTGCATTCCATATTTGGACACATTATCAAAACACCAAATTCCACTGTAAATGGCTTCTTTGAGCAAAGCCCTTCTTCAGAGTTTGTTCTTGGAAATTTCTCTTTTGAACTTTCCCACTTCAGCAAAGGACAAGTTGTAGACTCTTCTTATCAAATTAATCCATTAATAATGCAATAGTTTTTACAAAACACTGAAAAGAAAACCCCCAAAATCTCATCTCTCACAACATTTTTGTTATAGTGAAGGTGAAACTTTGAAGATCAACCACCATTTGCAGAAGCCCAATATGCTTCAGTCTACTGTGTACATAAGACAACAATATCATGTCCAATCTATCATCATTCAAATCTCTTGATGAGGGAGAGATCGTTTAGCATCTTCTCGATAGCTTCATCGTCGTGAACTCGTCCCTTCGTCTGAACAAACAGAAGTCGACACTTATCTCAGAAGAATGCTCAAAATACTAGAATGCTGTCTTGTGGGTGTAACTGGAGAATGCAAAAAAAAGACTTTTTTTTACCTTAAGAGAAGGAACCATGGCAACAGCTTCCTCAACAGTTTCAGGACAGAGGTTTCCAAGAACACAGAGCTGTTCAGAGAGCAACCAACAAAAACGGCTAAGCATGTTTGGTAGTTCCTTAGACGAGAAAAATCAGATCAAATAGATTTTACATCACCTTACCTCAAATTCCGTTAACTGGTATCTGCTCAGGATTCTATTAGGCTTGAGTTAAGGTCAAGAGATGTTCAAGAGAGAAAGAATGATATTAGACCAATTTTCAATGCTAACCCACAAATTAGATGAGCAAGTATTTGCAGTAGCAAATAACAGACACTGATTCTAAAAGGGGCATTTGCAAAACTAGGCCATCAAGAGATGCATATATGTGAAAAAGAAAGCACAAGTAAAACTTCAAAAAGGATACTCCCGAACTTGTCGTACAGCATCCGGATTCTTGTAGCGGCTAAAGCGCTTCACATACTGTAGGGACTTCTCAAACACTCTGCAGTGTGGAAAATAAAAATTATACCCATGAGAGCAGGCAAAAGGGCCGATTTCATGAACATTATGCATTGATCCATCAGCGAGATCCCCAAGATAATCGAGAAGGATAATGTATTTGCGTAAGCAAATAACAGAAACGAACATATTTTTGGTTCAAAGAGAATGTGCAGTTGTCAAATCCTCAGAAAGAGGACTGAAGCAACCATCATGAACGCGAAATATAAGATTTGAGCATACTCAGGATGAATACGGATGCAAGAAACAGTCTTGATATAAAAATCTGAGAGCCCATCAGGCGAATCAGATTAAGACAGTCAAGTAAAGAATCAAGGATTTAAAAAAGACACAAAGCAAGATTCTAATGGCAAAAAAGTGAGGAGGACCGAATCAAAGTCGGGTTCTTTCGCATGATTTCTGGCTATCAAATCGGGACTTATTTACCATGGCGCAAGAAGGGAAATTACTCACTGAGAAACTTGATTCATGGGATCTTCAGAAATCTGCTGAAGCTGCTCATACTTGTGCTCCAGAATCAGAGCGACTTCGCAGTTCATCAAGCACTTTGCCTTGAGAAACTCTACACCAAACACGGCCAAAGAAGGTTCAATAATTTCAGTGCGGAATCTCTGCGGCGTCAGACTTGTGTGAAATGATTACCGAAAAGGCCAAATCAAAACCAAAATCGACCCAAATCGTTCAGCTTGAGCAGAGAGAGAGAAAAACCCTTACTTTCCAAATTCAAACGTAAAAAGCAGCAATACTGGAGAAAGAGAGAAAGGGGTACCATCTCCGATCTTGAGCTCGGCGGCGTTTTCTTCTTCTTCACCGGACATGGCGACGACAATGGAGGGAGAATCAGGCTTAGGTTTCGACCGAGGAAAAGGAAAGTGAAGACAACAGATCTAATCGATGGTCCTTAGCCTTATTTATAAGAACGGGAGAACCGACTTAAAAAAAAAAAAACAGAAGTAATATTTTTTTAAATAAATTCCGATAAACCCCGTAGCCTAGCAATAAGGAAATTTTCCTTAAAAAACTAGGAAATATTTAACACGTAAACAGACGAAAATCCAGTTTCCACGGGAAAATATCAAAACAATTAAAAAAATTAAAAACATATATACACACATACGTATATATGATGTATATATATAAATATATTTTTAAAATTATTTTTATTATTTTTCATTTTCATTTTTATTTTTATTTTTAAATATTTTTTAATATTTTGTGATGTTAAGTGCTGATGTGGAGACTTAATCTTTGAATGATATTAGTTTTTATTTTGAGTTTTTAGTTTTGAGTTTTTGGCTTTGATTGGAGATGGCTTTTATTTTGGGTTTTTGGTTTTAGTTTTTGGATTTTGGTTTTTAGTTTTTGGTTTTTGGTTTTTGGATTTTATAATATTTGAAAACTCAAAAAAAGTAGCTTTTGGTTTTTCATTGATTTTTTTCACTAAAATGACTTTCCAAGTTTTTAGGAAAAGTAATTTTGTAAAAACTTGAATGTTGTTTTTTTTTTGTTTTTGGATTCTAAAAACTCCAAAAACTCCTACCATTCAAGGCCTTTAGTTTTTGGTTTTTGGATTTTGGATTCTGAAAGTTTATAAATCTAAAAAAAAGGTGGTTTTTAGTTTTTAGTTGATTTTTTTCATAAAGTAGATTTTCGAGTTTTTAGGAAAACCAAATTTCAAAAAACTTGATTGTCGGTTTTCATTATTTGAAATCCAAAAACTCTGAAATCCACCCCATAAACACCTGAATTATTGGTTTTTTCTCCCTCGGATTTTAGTTTTCGACGTGTCAAATATCGCAGAGGGTATTTTTTGGAGAAAATTTAAAAACTAGATGAATATTTTCGTCTATAGAATTTATTTGAATATAAAAAAATATATTAAATTGAGATAAATTAAAAGTACAGGACTAACTGGTAATTGAGTTGGGTCATTAGGCGTTTCGTGGGCCCAAACTACAAAACCCAAATATAATTTCACTCAAAATGTAAAAGTAAAACAATTTTCTTAGATTGTAATTAAATTTATATACATTTGTGGGCAACTTGTTTAGACTTTTACTAGCAATTTCTATATATCAGTTTAATTTTATAACGTATTAATCCTTTATCTTCATTTGTAAAAGCAAATGAAGATATTTGTTTTTTGGTCAAATTTGGGAGAAAGAATAGTTCAAATCATCAGAAGGCTTGAGTTGATGCGAGATACATGGCGCCCATTTCTCCTTGTGCCCTCCCCCCACGAACTTCAACTGCTGTGTTAAAGCTTCTTTCTTCACCATTTTCTTTTCCTTCCTTTTCTTGTCTGATTCAGACATGACGGAATCCACGAGAATCAGAGTCACCGTATGCTTCTTCTTTGTCGCCATCCTGTTCTGCAATCACATTTTCACGGCTTCTGCACAAGCAGAGCAGGAGAAGCCGTCTCTTTTGAAGATCATATTTCGGATATTCGGGAAAAAGTTCCCTCCAACTTCATGGGAACTCATCCAAGCGGCAATCCAGAAGATCAAGATGAAGATTTATCATCCGAATCTAGAGTGAGTTTCACAATTTCTGCCATACCCTTTTGGCATACAATCTCAGTTGTTCTCATCGAAATCCATGATTGCCCTTCTCCGTTCATCCATTGCTCGATCGACCTTCTTCTGCGTTCACTGTCAGTTTCAGAAGCAAAAGCGAAGGGAAGGGTGAAGAAGGGAAAGGAGGAGAAAACAGTGCTGGGGAGATGGTGAAAGAAGCGGCGAAGAAGAGTTTGGAGACAAGCAAAGAGACCATTGAAGGGTCTGCAAAACTGGCGGGAGATGCTGTGGGCGGAGCAGTGCAGAGAACAGCCGAGAAGGTGAAGAACAAAGCCTCGCATGACGAGATCTGATCTGAGAGACATTGTTCAGTCCATCGTGAACGAGTTCTTTCTCTTGCTGATAGACCACCATCAATATGAATCTGTTTTCCTGTCTGATTACTCAAAACACAGATACATATAGAAGCGAAACACGATGAAATCTAGATCAACGATGCACGGAACAATGGTGGGTTAAATCCAGATCAACTGTAAACGAAACAAAAACACAGAGAGAATCTAAACTGAACGAGAAGACGAGAGCCTAAGGCACTCGCTTTGGCACCTTCTGAGACAAATGTCGTTCCAGTTAGGCACTTGATGATTGTTGACACAGACGGTACGGGCACAGGCGTCGGAACAGGCATCGAGCTCGGAGACTCCACACACCGTTACACAAGTGTCGGGAATTGGGTCCTTGGAGAAAGCTCCGATCTTTTTCAACATCCTTTTCGACGTGCAGACCCTTTCGCACACAAATATCTCATCAGAACTCTTCTCTCTTCCTCTAGCGCTCTTGATCCTCCCTTCTTCAGCTCGTCTCTTCTTCATTCTGATGGCTTGCCCTGCGACAAGGGCAGGCACCGCTGCTCCAAGAAGCGACCACCACACTTCCACCATTACTGAAAATGTTGCAGCAAAAAGAGACTAAAATTTCTCTGCGCACGACAAAACCATTAACGCATTACACGATCGGAAAAGCCAGAGTAGAAGTTGAAGGGCGCAAACGGGTTAAGGAAAAGGAAAGGGTGTTTACGAGAGATGTATTCAAATCCATAAGCAGAATCGATTCTCTAAACTAGAAACCGAAACTGTGGGAACCCAGAATCCAACCGGGGATACAGCAACAAATCTCACTTGGGTTTTCTCGTAGGATGTCGAATTCTTACAAAAACCCAAAAAAAGAGAAGGGAGTCGTAAAGGCAGAACTCCTTAACAGCGCAGTGCAAGAGGATTACTCTAATACCATACGGCTCATATGATTACAGATAACTCATAAGCTCAGAGGACCTCCACGAAACAATCATCCAAAAAAATCGCAACTTGCAATGGGTCTAGGGTTTATGCGGAGAGAGAGAAAGAGATGACCTGTTAGGGAATCTGAAGAGTGAAGACCCAGAGGAGGAATCGATATGATCAAAGCGAGAATTCCATCAAAAAGGGAATTGATTTTGCTGCTCCACAAAGCCTAGAGAGCCTTCCCTCCCGTCTGATGTTAAAGAAAACTGCGAAGTCCCTCTTTCTCCTTTTATTAGATTTTTATTTTTTAATGCTGCATTTTTTTTTTAAATCGATCTCGTGTAAAGACTGGAGAAACACTATTAAGCTGATATTTTTTTTATTCATTCATAACCAAAAAAAAAAAATGTAGCAAAAAATGAAAAAGAGCACATCATTTAGCTCTCACAAACATTACATTATCAAAGAATTTGCTACTCTATGTGAACCCACGATTACATAATTCCATCCTTGGCATCAACTTTGCACCCGCACGCACCTCTACCATTGGAACCATTGATAGAGAAATCCAATCTGAATTAAATAAATAATAAAAAAAAAGAATAGAACAACAAAAAAAAACATCCTCTGCATCAGCATTGGACACAGAAGACAAAAGCTATTGAGATGGTTTGAGGTTCAGACGTTAATGTCCATCCGCTTAGACCTGGCACTCCCGTTATTGGTTTCGTGAGCACTGGTAAGAGAAAACCTCGGGATGGAGGCGTAGTTGTCGGGTGTCAAAACAGGTTGCTGAGGATACAGAGTGGGAGGTGGGGTGAGGTTTCTCTGCGCTGGAAGCGGCGGTAGCATGTTGTACTTGTAAGGATCTCCCTTCAAACTGCAAATTTTACATCGCATCAAGTATCGACCCACATGTTATTTAACGAAAGTTACCACTCTAGTTTTTTTTTTTTTACCTTGGCCTTCTGTAAAATTGATCGTCGTCGGTTGTGCTGTCGTCTAACCGCTGTGAAGGTGCAGCTGGAATAGGGGAAACTGACCACGTAGAAGTTGCAGGTAATTCATCTGAGAAGTATCTTCTCCTTATCAACTGCAAACCGAAAAATTTTATTGCTTTTGAGTATTGAGTTCAGGGTTGAAGATATATAGCTGACAAGAGAAGATGCGAAACCATGCGGAAAAATTTGTTCAGAGCTTCCTTGTCGAATCTAGCTTCCTTGGCTGCCTGCATAAGGGCAATTTGACAAACCCTATCAGGTTATAGTTCCGAGATACGTTCGTTATTGCGATGAATAAAACTAGTCCTCACACTATTTTCATTCAAAAGCTCAAAGATTCTTTTATTCACCATGAAAAAATAACAACCGAGATAGTACTCGGTCATATGCTTACAGCTATAAGGCCACCATTGCCGGGAAAGCTCTCAGTGAGAGGGAGATCCTCACTCGACCGAAGCAAACCTTGCTTCTCAACCCACTGACGAGCTGCATCAACGAGATTGCCGCTGCTTCCTCTCGTGCCTTCTTTTGTAGCGGCATCCGCTTTGTTACCGACGATGATGTACGGGACAGGAAGGCCACCCGGCCCTCCAGAAGGAAGAGGGGCAGAAAATGTCCCAGTAGCTGCAACCTCAGCTGCCCATTTCTGCAAGCTTGTTTTTGTTCTTCTCTGGGAAAGATCATGGACAAAAATAACTCCTGCACAATTTAATTCTCAAACATGAACTTTGTGATATAACACTGTTTGAAACAGAATCAAGAAGAGCGGGGAGAATTTGGCGCAGACCATTAATTTGTGAATAGAAAAGAGAGTGGCAGTCTTTGTATCTCTCATGCCCAGATACATCCCAGAGTTCGACAAAGAAGTCCCTCTCTGAGTCACCTTTAATGCTACTTGAAGAACTAGCAGGACTTGCATAAGTAATGTGCTGAAACAGTGATAAAGTAGGAAAGTGAGGAATTGAACTCCAGCTCTTGGCCATTTTGAGAAATTTTGAGACGACTAAGTTACCTTTATCCCAACTGTACATCCAATTGTCTGCGATGGGCGTGTAATAGAGGAACCTTTGACAATGAGATGTACAAGAGATGATTTTCCAACGCCTAGCAAGAGATGCAGAAGAATTCAGAACTGAAATTTACTCAAACAATGCAGACTATGATGAAAAGCAAAAGAAACTTCTTTCCATTTTGTTGTCCTGAAGGAGCAAATAGGTTGACATTTATCATGAACAAGAACAAGCAAAACCTAGATCATAAAATTACGCTCTCAGCATTGTCCGATGAAATACAGTAAGGACCACACCACCAAGCTCTCAACCTCTAATGATCTCCGATATAGATTACATGCGATGTACATGAGATCTGGTCCATCAGAGTATCAGTCCTTGACAGTGCTGATCTCAACAAATAAAAGCATTGAAGGCTCAAAAAAGAAGAAACATTTAGCCGACCATTCACATCAAAATCATTTGCCCACCATGGCACATATGCTAGATGGCTCAAGTTAATCTCAAGAGAGTGAATCCCGATTTTTAGATAAGTAGAACAACAACGAGCAAAATTTAACTTTCTAGTCTCACTAGATCAGCAAATCTAGTTAAGAACAATAATTGATCATCTTGACATCTATCACACCACAATCAATCTGGCGAATTGATTTTCTTGAGTCACAAAGGATGACACTAGGATCCAACTTGGAAACTCGGAACTGATCAACACCAAACGGTGAGATAATGGCGACCAAAAGCCTCGACAAATCTAACAGATCCATTACGGCATAATCTACATCAGAAATGAAATCTGATATTACCTGAGTCACCGACCACCAATACGCGGACTTGTCCGCACAGCAACCCCACGTTCTGCTCCTTGGTTGCGCTTTCACGTTCCCTCCAAAACATCATGTTGCTCAAAATAGTAAAATCAGATCAGTATCAGAGACGCCAGTTCTGCTCAAACAATTCCCAATCGTCCTGCTCCAATCAGAAAGCAAAAAGCAACTTCCAGAAACAATCATAGCAAGTCCCGATTCCCTGATCTACTTTTACACTGATAGATTTGTACGATTTATCCACCGTCAGTTTACCAGAGCAGAGCATAACTCAATTCCATATACAGATGTAAGAAAACAATCCCCGGCTCAGATTCTTCGCATTCCTCGCTCGAGATATCCCTGGAATACAATTCGAAATCAATACTGAAGTTTCCAGAAATGATCAAGCAAACAATGGATCTGCGGCCACATACAAAGATTCCTGTATCAACACTTCCCAGGAGAAATCAAACCAAAATCCAAAGAAGCCCCAGAAATCGTCAGCTCGGGTCCTCCTCCTCCCCCTTCCTCGACGTTCTTCTTCTCGATGAATCTAGAGAAAAAAATCGCAAAATATCCTTCCGACTAATTGACAATACAAGTGAACGAGAGAATCTGGAGATGAGATAATAGGATAAGAGACTCTGAATCGAGATTAGGGCTCGAGAATCCTTTCTTCTGCTTCGATTCTTCGAATACACTTTTGCTGAGATTTGATCGGAA